GGGAGGGATTAACACACACCTACCTGCACAAACATTCATACAGACTGTAGCTACCTACCTAAACCTGCTGACCTTGTGAGGTGATGAAGTGATCTTAATCTGTCCCTCACGACACAGTAAGACACAGACTTAAGAGATACTGGGAATATCCCTCTGGTGGATTTTGTGGACTATAATATGTAGAATTGTTTAATGTCTACCATTGTATACCTGCACTGTCTATGTAACATTATATACCTACACTTTCTACTGTAGGTACATTGTATACCTGCACTGTCTATGTAACATTATATACCTACACTTTCTACTGTAGGTACATTGTATACCTGCACTGTCTATGTAACATTATATACCTACACTTTCTACTGTAGGTACATTGTATACCTGCACTGTCTATGTAACATTATATACCTACACTTTCTACTGGGTACATTGTATACCTGCACTGTCTATGTAACATTATATACCTACACTTTCTACTGTAGGTACATTGTATACCTGCACTGTCTGTAATATGGCATACCTGCACTGTCCACGTTTTGTATACCTACACACATGTAACAAGGTATAGTTTTTGTCCAAATACACTGGTTGTATACTGTACCTACACTGTGTATGTAACACTATATATCTTCATCGTATATACATATATATATATATATCTATAGCGGAGGTAATATATGAGAGTGGAGGTGGCAGGTGGGTGGAGGCAATGTGAGTGGAGGTATGTGTGACTTGACCCCCCCAACCCAACACCACGAGTCATCAAGATAAACAAAGCATTGCCTCAGTCTGGCTCAATGTTGCTGTGATCACTGGTCTAGCCACCCCCCTCACCCCAACAAGGGTCGGGTTGTCTCACCACTGGCCGCAGGTGGGTGATCGCGCCTGGCCATTACCTCACCCAATGTTTACATAGTATATTAACAACAACAACATCATGCTTATCATAACAACATTGTCCTTGTAGATCACCACGGCAGTCAAAGTGCAGTATAGCCTTGACGACATTATTATCTGTATAGGTATTTGTCCTCACCTTAAATTATTATCTGCAGTGTATAGCTATTTATCTTATTTGATTTATGTACTTACAGTAGCTATTTGTTTTAATTTGAATTATCTGCATAGCTATTTGTGTCCTTGTGTTTGTTTATCTGACTACTGTGAGGTAATGATATAATAAGCTGCAACATTCTGCCCCAAACATTCTGCCCCAAACATTCTGCCCCAAACATTCTGTCCCAAACATTCACAATTTATTTTATTTTTTGTTTTGTCTTCAGTAACAAGAATTCCTGTACTGTGTGTAGTTGTTGGATTAGTGCTGAAGGAAGTGTTCAGTCTTGTACACGTGTTTGTTTGAGTTATTTTATGAGGTTCAGGTGTGGAAGGTGTGTTTCAGGTGTGTACAGGTGTGGAAGGTGTTGTGTTTTAAGATTATATCACTGTAGAATCTATACTACATTTATGATGATTTAAGTACAGTACAGTCACATTAAATTAAAGCAAAGTCACACTACTAAATTAACGTACAGTCACATTATTAACCTACAGTCACATTAAACTAAACTACAGTCACATTATTAAACTACAATAACAATCACAAACTCACACTAACCTAACCTAACCTAACAACATTATTTACTTTAATATCATTATACGTGGTGTGAGGTGGGGATGACTCAGCGAGACCCTTGAGGAACTGAACACAACACAAGACAGTCAGGGGGCCTCTCTGTTGACACGGGTACGGGCCTCTCTGTTGACACGGGTACAGGGCCTCTCTGTTGACTGCAGGTGCAGGGGCCTCTCTGTTGACACAGGTACAGGGCCCTCTCTGTTGACACGGGTGCAGGCCTCTCTGTTGACACAGGTGCAGGGGCCTCTGTTGACACGGGTACAGGGCCTCTCTGTTGACACGGGTACAGGCCTCTCTGTTGACACAGGTGCAGGGCCTCCTGTTGACACGGGTACAGGGCCTCTCTGTTGACACGGTACGGGGCCCTCTGTTGACACGGGTACCAGGGCCTCTCCTGTTGACACGGGTACAGGGCCTCTCTGTTCATGGGTACGGGGCCTGTTGACACCAGGTGCAGGGCCTCTCTGTTGACACGGGTACAGGGCCTCCTCTGTTGACACAGGTACAGGGCCTCTCTGTTGACTTGCAGGTGAGGGCCTCTCTGTTGACACGGTGCAGGGCCTCTCTGTTGACACGGGTACAGGGCCTCTCTGTTGACACGGGTACGGGCCTCTCTCGGTTGACACCGGGTACGAGGCCTCTCTGTTGACACAGTACAGGGCCTCTCTGTTGACTACGTGCAGGGCCTCTCTGTTGACACGGGTACAGGGCCTCTCTGTTGACACGGGTACGGGGCCTCTCTGTTGGCACAGGTGCAGAGTCTGTTGACACCAGATCGGGGCCTCTCTGTTGGCCTGGGTACAGGGGCCTCTCTGTTGACGGGTGAGGGCCCTCTGTTGACACTGGTACAGGGCCTCTCTGTTACACGGTGCAGGGCCTCTCTTGTTGACACGGGTGCAGGGCCTCTCTGTTGACACGGGTGCCAGGGCCTCTCTGTTGACACGGGTACAGGGCTCTCTGTTGACACGGGTACAGGCCTCTCTGTTGACACGGGTACAGGGCCTCTCTGTTGACACGGGTACAGGGCCTCTCTGTTGACAGGTGCAGGGCCTCTCTGTTGACACGGGTACGAGGCCTCTCTGTTGACACAGGTACAGGGCCTCTCTGTTGACACGGGTACAGGGCCTCTCTGTTGACACTGGTGCAGACTCTCTGTTGACACGTAGGGGCCTCTCTGATAACTGCAGGTGCAGGGCCTCTCTGTTGACCGGGTACAGGCCTCTCTGTTGACACGGGTACAGGGCCTCCTCTGTTGACTTGGACCACCCCAGTGCAGGGCCTCTCTGTTGACACCAGGTGCAGGCCTCTCTGTTGACACGGGTACAGGGCCTCTCTGTTGACACGGGTACAGGGCCTCTCTGTTGACACAGTGCAGAGGCCTCTCTGTTGCTGCAGGTACCAGGGCCTCTGTTGACCGGGTACAGGGCCTCTCTGTTGACACGGGTACAGGGCCTCTCTGTTGTTGCCAGGGTACAGGGCCTCTCTGCTGACACGGGTACGGGGCCTCTCTGGACACAGGTGGGGGCCTCTCTGTTGACACGGGTGCAGGCCTCTCTGTGGACACGGGTACAGGGGCCTCTCTGTTGACTACAGGTACAGGCCTCTCTGTTGAACCTGGGTACGGGGCCTCTCTGTTGACACAGGTACGGGGCCTCTCTGTTGACACGGGTACAGGGCCTCTCTGTTGAACCGGTGCAGGGGCCTCTCTGGCCCGGGTACAGGGGCCTCTCTGTTGACACAGGTACAGGGCCTCTCTGTTGACACGGGTACAGGCCTCTCTGTTGACACGGGTACAGGGGCCTCTCTGTTGACACAGGTACGAGGCCTCTCTGTTGACACGGGTACAGGCCTCTCTGTGCAGGTACAAGGGGCCTCTCTGTTGACACAGGGTGCAGGGCCTCTCTGTTGACACGGGTACAGGCCTCTCTGTTGACACGGGTACAGGGCCTCTCTGTTGACACGGGTACAGGGCCTCTCTGTGCCTGAGTGCAGGGGCTCTGTTGACACAGGTGCAGGCCTCTGTTGACACGGTAGGGGCCTCTCTGTTGACTACAGTGGGGCCTCTCTGACACAGGTACAGGGCCTCTCTGTTGACACGGGTACAGGGCCTCTCTGTTGACACAGGTCAGGGGGCCTCCTGTGACACCAGGTGCAGGCCTCTCTGTTGACACGGGTACAGGGGCCTCCCTGTTGACACGGGTACAGAGGCCTCTCTGTTGACACGGGTACAGGGCCTCTCTGTTGACCTGGTACAGGGCCTCACTGTTGACACGGGTACGGGGCCTCACTGTTGACACGGGTACAGGCCTCTCTGTTGGCTACAGGTGAGGGCCTCTCTGTTGACACAGGTGGGGCCTCACTGTTGACACGGTCAGAGGCCTCTCTCAGGTACAGGCCTCTCTGTTGACACAGGTCAGGGGCCTCTCTGTTGACTGCAAGGGCCTCTCTGTTGACACAGGTACAGGCCTCTCTGTTGGCACGGTGCAGGGCCTCTCTGGACATGGGTACAGGGGCCTCACTGTTGACACGGTACGGGGCCTCTCTGTTGACACAGGTACAGGGCCTCTCTGTTGACATAGTGCCAGGGGCCTCTCTGTTGACACAGGTAGGGGCCTCTCTGTTGACACGGTGCAGGGGCCTCTCTGTTGACACAGGTACAGGCCTCTCTGTTGACACGGGTACAGGGCACCTCTGTTGACACGGGTGCAGGGCCTCACTGTTGCACGGGTACAGGCCTCTCTGTTGACACGGGTGGGGCCCTCTCTGTTGACATGGGTGCAGGCCTCCTGTTGACACAGGTACGGGGCCCTCTGTTGACACGGGTGGGGCCCTCTGTTGGCGACAGGTGCAGGGCCTCTCTGTTGACACGGATGGGGGCTTCTCTGTTGACACAGGTACGAGGCCTCCTCTGTTGACACAGGTACAGGGCCTCTCTGTTGACACGGGTACAGGCCTCTCTGTTGACACGTATGAGGCCCTCTCTGTTGACACAGGTACAGGGCCTCTCTGTTGACACGGGTACAGGGCCTCCTCTGCTGACACAGGTAGGGGCCTCACTTGACACAGGTACAGGGCCTCTCTGTTGACACAGGTACAGGGCCCTCTCTGTTGACATGGTGCAGGCCTCTCTGTTGAGCACAGGTGCAGGGCCTCTCTCTTGTGGCACAGTACAGGGCCTCCTCTGTTGACACGGGTACAGGGGCCTCTGTTGACGGGTACAGGGGCCCCTCTCTGTTGACACAGGTGCAGGGCCTCTCTGTTGACATGGGTAAGAGGCCTCTCTGTTGACACTGAGTGCAGGGCCTCTCTGTTGAGACCAGGTACAGGGCCTCCTCTGTTGACACCTGGTGCAGGGGCCTCACTGTGAGCACAGGTGCAGGGGCCTCTCTGTTGACACGGTACAGGCCTCTGTTGGCAGGTACAGGGCCTCCTCTGTTGCACTGGTACAGAGGCCTCTCTGTGACTGCAGGTGAGGCCTCTCTGTTGACACAGTACAGAGCCTCTCTGTTGACACAGGTACAGGGCCTCTGTTGACCTGGGCGGGGCCTCTCTGTGACACAGGTACGAGGCCCTCTCTGTTGACACGGGTACGAGCCTCCTGTTGACACAGGTACAGGGCCTCTCTGTTGACAGTGCGAGGCCTCTGTTGGCACGGGTGCAGGGCCTCTCTGTTGACACCGTGCAGGGCCTCTCTGTTGACACAGGTGCAGAGCCCTCCTGTTGACACAGGTACAGGGCTTCTCTGTTGACACGGGTACAGGGCCTCTCTGGCAGGCACCGGGTACTCTCTGTTGACCTTGGTGCAAGGCCTCTCTGTTGACCTTGCAGGTACAGGCTCTCTGTTGCTTGGGTGGGGCCTCTCTGTTGACTCGGGTACAGGGCCTCTCTGTTGACACAGGTACAGGGCCTCCTGTGCAGTACGGCCTCTCTGTTGACTACAGGTACAGGGCCTCTCTGTTGACACAGGTGCAGGGCCTCTCTGTTGACACGGGTACGGGGCCTCTCTGTTGGCACGGGTACAGGGCCTCTCTGTGACCACGGGTACAGGGCCTCTCTTTGACACAGGTGCAGGGCCTCTCTGTTGGCCACAGTGCAGGCCTCTCTGTTGACACAGGTGCAGGGCCTCTCTGTTGGCTTACAGTGCAGGGCCTCTCTGTTGACACGGGTACAGGGCCTCTCTGTTGGCCACAGGTACAGGGCCTCTCTGTTGACACAGGTACAGGGGCCTCTCTGTTGACACAGTGCAGGGCCTCTCTGTTGACACAGGTACAGGGCCTCTCTGCTGACACAGGTACCAGGGGCCTCTCTCGTTGCAGGTACCAGGCCTCTCTGTTGACACGGGTACAGGGAGGCCTCTGTTTCGACTGCAGGTACAGGGCCTCTCTGTTGACACGGGTACAGGGGCCTCTGTTGACACAGGTACGAGGCCTCTCTGGCTTGCAGGTACGAGGCCTCTCTGTTGCACCAGGTGAGGGGCCTCTCTGTTGACACGGCAGGGCCCCTGTTGACACGGTACAGGGCCTCTCTTGACACACAGGTGCAGGGCCTCTCTGTTGACCTGGGTGGGGCCTCTCTGTTGACACAGGTACAGGCCTCTCTGTTGACACGGGTACAGGCCTCTCTGTTGACATGGTGGGGCCTCTCTGTTGGCACGGGTGCAGGGCCTCTCTGTTGACACAGGTACAGAGGCCTCTCTGTGACCCGGGTGGGGCCTCTCTGTTGACAGGTACAGGGCCTCTCTGTTGACACGTGCAAGGGCCTCTCTGTTGACACAGGTGGGGCCTCTCTGTTGACAGGTGCAGGGGCCTCTCTGTTGACACAGGTGCAAGGCCTCTCTGTTGACACGGGTGCAGGGCCTCTCTGTTGACTAGGTGCAGGGCCTCTCTGTTGACACAGGTGCAGGGGCCTCTGTTGGCCAGGTGCAGGGCCTCTCTGTTGACACAGGTACAGGGCCTCTCTGTTGACACGGGTACGGGGCCTCTCTGTTGACACAGGTACAGGGCCTCTCTGGTCACACAGGTACAGGGGCCTCCTCTTGCCGGTGCAGGGCCTCTCTGTTGACACAGGTACAGGCCTCTCTGTTGACACTGGTACAGAGGCCTCTCTGTTGACACGGGTACAGGGCCTCTCTGTTGACACAGGTACAGGGCCTCTCTGTTGACACAGGTGCAGGGCCTCCTGTTGACACGGGTGCAGGGCCTCTCTGTTGACACAGGTACAGAGGCCTCTCTGTTGACAGGTCCAGGGCCTCTCTGGACAGGTACAGGGCCTCTCTGTTGACGCAGGTACAGAGGCCTCTCTGGGCACACAGGTACAGGGCCTCTCTGTTGACACAGGTACGGGGCCCTCTCTGTTGACACGGGTACAGGCCTCTCTGTTGACACGGGTGCAGGGCCTCTCTGTTGACACGGGTACAGGGCCTCTCTGTTGACACAGGTGCAGGGCTCTCTGTTGACTTCAGGTGCAGGGGCCTCTCTGTTGACACAGGTACAGGGCCTCTCTGTTGACACGGGTCCAGAGGCCTCTCTGTTGACACAGGTACAGGGCCTCTCTGTTGACACAGGTACAGGGCCTCTGTTGACACGGGTACAGGGCCTCTCTGTTGACACGGGTACAGGGCCTCTCTGTTGACACAGGTGGGGCCTCCTCTGTTGACACGGGTGCAGGGGCCTCTCTGTTGACACGGGTACGGGGCCTCTCTGTTGGACACGGGTACGGGGCCTCTCTGTTGACGTGCAAGGGCCTCTCTGTTGACACAGGTACAGAGCCTCTCTGTTGACCTGGGTGCAGGGCCTCTCTGTTGACACAGGTGCAGGGCCTCTCTGTTGACACGGGTACAGGGCCTCTCTGTTGACACGGGTACGGGGCCTCTCTGTTAACACAGGTGCAGAGGCCTCTCTGTTGACACAGGTACAGGCCTCTCTGTTGACACAGGTACAGGGCTTCTCTGTTGACACGGGTACAGGGGCCTCTCTGTTGACACGGGTGACCTCTCTGTTGACACGGGTACAGGGCCTCTCTGTTGACACGGGTACAGGCCTCTCTGTTGACACAGGTGCAAGGGCCTCTCTGTTGACACGGGTACAGGGGCCTCCTCTGTTGACCAGGTGCAAGGCCTCTGTTGACACAGTACAGGGCCTCCTGTTGACACGGGTACAGGGCCTCTCTGTTGACCCTACAGGTGGGGCCTCTCTGTTGACACGGGTGCAGGGCCTCTCTGTTGACACAGGTGAGGGCCTCTCTGTTGACACAGGTACAGGCCTCTCTGTTGGCACGGGTACAGGGGCCTCTCTGTTGACACGGGTACAGGGCCTCTCTGTTGACTGGGTACAGGGGCCTCTGTTGACACGGTGACAGGGCTCTCTGTTGACACGGGTACAGGGCCTCTGTTGACACGGGTACAGGGGCCTCTCTGTTGACTCGGGTACAGGGCCTCTCTGTTGACACAGGTACAGGGGCCTCCTCTGTTGACACAGGTACAGGGCCTCTCTGTTGACACGGGTGCAGGGCCTCTCTGTTGGCCTTGCAAGTGCAGGGCTTCTCTGTTGACACGGGTACGGGGCTTCTCTGTTGACACAGGTGGGGCCTCTGTTGACACGGGTGCAGGGGCTTCTCTGTTGACACAGGTGCAGGGCTTCTCTGTTGACCGCAGTGCAGGGGCTCTCTGTTGACACGGGTGCAGGGGCCTCTCTGTTGACACAGTACAGGCCTCTCTGTGGCTACGGGTACGGGGCCTCTCTGTTGACACAGGTACAGGGGCCTCTCTGTGCACACAGGTGCAGGGCCTCTCTGTTGACACAGGTGAGGCCTCTCTGTTGACCTGCAGGTGAGGGCTTCTCTGTTGACACAGGTACAGGGCTTCTCCTGTTGACAGGTACAGGGCTTCCTCTGTTGACCTACAGGTGGGCTTCTCTGTTGACCAGGGCTGGGGCCTCTCTGTTGACGCAGGGGCTCTCTGTTGACACAGTGCAGGGCCTCTCTGTTGACACGGGTACAGGGCTTCTCTGTTGACACAGGTGCAGGGCCTCTCTGTTGACACGGTGCAGGGCTCTCTGTTGAGACAGGTACGGGGCTTCTCTGTTCACACGGTACAGGGCTTCTCTGTTGCACACGGGTACAGGCCTCTCTGTTGACACCAGGTGCAGGGCTTCTCTGTTGACACGGGTGCAGGGCCTCTGTTGACACCAGGTACAGGGCTTCTCTGTTGACTTACAGGTACAGGCCTCTCTGTGTTTAGGTACGGGCCTCTCTGTGACACGTGCAGGGCCTCTCTGTTGACACAGTGCAGGGGCCTCTCTGTTGACCGGGTACGAAGGCCTCTCTGTTGACTACTGGTAGGGCCTCTCTGTGGCTGCAGGTGCAGGGCCTCTCTGTTGACACGGGTACAGGGCCCCTCTCTGCTGAGGCCGGGTACAGGGGCTCTCTGTTGACACAGGTGCAGGGCCTCTCTGTTGACTTTTGGGTACAGGGCCTCTCTGGACACTGGGTGCAGGGCCTCTCTGTTGACAGGTGCAGGGGCTTCTCTGTTGACACGGGTGCAAGGCCTCTCTGTTGACACGGGTACAGGGCCTCTCTGTTGACCTGGTACGAGCGCCTCTCTGTTGACACGGGTGCAGGGGCCTCTCTGTTGACAGGTACAGGGCCTCTCTGTTGACACAGGTCAGGGCCTCTCTGTGCTTACAGGTGCAGGGCTTCTCTGTTGACACAGGTACAGGGCCTCTCTGTTGACACGGGTGCAGGGCTTCTCTGACACAGGTGAGGGCCTCACTGTTGGCACAGGTGCAGGGCCTCCTCTGTTGACGCAGGTGCAGAGGCCTCTCTGTTGACACAGGTACGGGGCCTCTCTGTTGACACGGGTACAGGGCCTCTCTGTTGACACGGGTACAGGGCCTCTCTGTTGACCAGGTGCAGGGCCCTCTCTGTTGACACGGGTCAGGGGCCCTCTGTTGACACAGGTGCAGGCCTCTCTGTTGACACAGGTACAGGGCCTCACTTGGATGGTGGCATACTTCAAGACGGACTGTATTTATGTGCAGTGTTGCTGGGGCCTGTGTGTCGTGTGTATGTTGCTGGGGCCTGTGTGTCGTGTGTATGTTGCTGGGGCCTGTGTGTCGTGTGTGTATGTTGCTGGGGGCCTGTGTGTCGTGTGTATGTTGCTGGAGGCTGTGTGTATGTGTAGTGGCTGTGTATTATATGAATGTGGTCAGGGGCTGTGTATGTTGCTGGGGGCTGTGTATTTGTGTAAGTATGTGGTGCGGCTGTGTATTTGTGTAAGTATATGGTCAGCGGCTGTGTGTGTGTGTGTATATGTGGTCGGGACTGTGTATTTGTGTAAGTATGTAGGTCAGGACTGTGTGTTGTGTGTATATATGTGGTCGGGACTGTGTATTTGTGTATGTGTATGTGGTCGGCGGCTGTGTATTTTTAAAACCTCCCCTAGGGTGAGTTAGACCTCCGGGAAACAGGCTTCAATCAACCAGCTGGCGTGTCAGGGGTTCACTGTAAGGGTTCATTGTCTGGGGTTCATTGTAAGGGTTCATTGTCAGGGGTTCATTGTCGGGGGTTCACTGTAAGGGTTCATTGTCAGGGTTCAATGTAAGGGTTCATTGTCAGGTTCACTATAAGGTTCATCCACCAGCTTAAGTATGGGAGATAATTTTTTCTGACTCGCCTCCACCTTTTCCTCATACCTGTCAGATGTATAATTGATGTCCCCTCGTCGATTTTACCACACCACCACCACCTCACCACAACCACCACCTGCACCACAACTACCACCTGCCCACCCTCACCCACTGCACCAACACCTGCACCACCACCCTACCACCACTACCACCTGCACCCACCACCTGCACCACCCACCACCTCCACCACTACCACCTGCACCACCACTACCACCTGCCACCACACACCTGCACCACCAACCTGCCACCACACCACACTGCACCACCCTGCCACCACACCTGCACCACCACCACCTGCTACACCCTGCACCACCACCTGCACCCAGCTACCACCTGCACCACCTGCCCAACTACCACCTGCACCACCACCACCACCTGCACACCACCCACCACCACACACCACCACCACCACCCACCATCTTCACCACCATCCTACCACCACCACCACCACCACCACCACCTCACCACCACCACCATCACCACCACCACCACCATCACACCACCACCACCCACCATCACCACCCACCACCACCACCATCACCACCCTACCCACCCATCTTCCACCACCACCCACCACCTCACCACCACCACCTCCACCCCACCACCACCTCCACCACCTCCACCACCACACTCCCACCCACCACCTCCACCACCACCACCTATCACTACCACCCCCACCACCTCCACCCACCACCACACCACCACCACCACCACCACCACCACCACCACCACCCACCACCATCATCCACCACCCACCACCACCACCACCACCACCACCACCACCACCCATCACCATCACCACCACCATCACCACCCTTCATCACCACCTTCACCACCATCACCTACCCACCACCCACCACCACCACCACCACCCACTCCACCACCCACCACCACCACCACCACCCACCACCACCCACCACCACCTCCACCACCACCACCACCACACCACCACCACACCACCACCCACCACCACCACCACCACCTCCACCACTACTACCACCACCACCACCACAACCACCAGTGTCATTATCTCATCGCTTCATTACCAATTATTGCCCTTCTGTCACCAGTTATCGAAGTCCTGTGTTATGATAATGGGCAGAGAACTCGTCTCTAGTATACCCTGCAGTCGTCACCATCGTCGTCACTATAGTTGTTAACGTTATAATCGTCACCATCATCGTCTTCCACTATCAACAACATGGTGACCGTGGTGTGGGGGAGTGAGTAGTGTTATGATTGGGGGAGGTGAGGTTGTGTGCCACCACACCCACCCCCTCTTATCCCTTCTCCTCCCCTTCCCTCACCCTTCTCCTCTCCCCTGGCAGCATGAGGCAGCTCTCTCTCTAGTTGTGTTATTTCATGCCTAATCTATTCATCTTGCACGGAGCAATGTCACGCATGAGGGGCGGGTCGGGGCTTTGCGATCACGGTGGCTTGGCAACCTCCCAGTCCCTCCCACCACTGGTGATGTTGCCTCTACTTCCTCCCAACACTGGTGCACCACTACAACACCGGTGCACCACTACCTCAACACGGCACCACTACAACACCGGTGCACCACTACATCACTGTGCACCACTACATCACTGGTGCACCACTACAACACCGGTGCACCACTACAACACCGGTGCACCACTGCAACACCGGTGCACCACTCATCACTGGTGCACCAACATCACTGGTGCACCACTACAACACCGGTGCACCACTACAACACCGGTGCACCACTACATTATGTTGAAATGAACTGTGTGCTTTTCCCCATCTAGTTATTATATTCTTATTTGTGTCACTTATTCCTTTATATTATTTGTAATTCGTACATTCCCAAATATGCTGATATTTTCAGCCTTCCCAACTCAATAAACCGTTAATTATTATTTATTATTATTAATCACTGGTGCACCACTCATCACTGGTACCACTACCACCGGTGCACCACTACAACACCGGTGCACCACCACAACACCGGTGCACCACTGCAACACCGGTGCACCACTACAACACCGGCACCACACAACACCGGTGCACCACCGGTGCACCACTGCAACACCGGTGCACCACTACATCACTGGTGCACCACTACAACACCGATGCACCACTACAACACCGGTGCACCACTACAACACCGGTGCACCACTATGATGACAGGAGACACAATACCCCACCATGACGAGTGGAAGTGTATCTGCAGTCACAGCGAGAGAAAGAACGTCTTATCTTGTACGACTACATCCACTAATTGACGCCCACACACACACACACACACACACACAGAAGAACTGATGTCTGAAAGAAATTTTGATAATTCTTCGATCTGTTGAGATACTTTACCTACTACCACTATGTTACCACCTACCATAATCAACCATCACCAACCACTATCACCACTACCTACCTATACCACCATCTACCCCTACCACCATGTACCACCACTTACCCTATCACCACTTATCCCTAATACCACTTACCATCACCATGTACTGTACCACCACTTACAGCACTCTCACTTTCTCCTGGATAACGTTTAAAGCTATAAAGTTTTAGATGGTTGTTTGCGCTTTGAGTAAATTTATTTACAAAATCATTAGACACGGGAGTTGTGCCGGACTTGTGGAGACAGGCAAAAGGAACAGCATCATCGTCAAATTACCGGCCGATTAGTTTGACGTCAGTATTGGGGGAAATTTCTTGAATCAATTATAGCAAATAGCCCGATCGCATTTAGAGAAAACAAATTAATCTACGACTCTCAACATGGATTTACAAAGGGAAAATCTTGTCTCACAAATCTGCTGATTTTTAGGAAAGCTATGAGGTAGGAGATAATGACAAAATTACGATGTTATTTACTCAGACTTAAGCAAAGCATTTGACAGAGTACCGCATCAGGTTTCTGAGAAAAGTTAAGAGCTCATGGTATCGAGGGAAAGTTTTAATTGGATAAAATCATGGCTCACCGATAGAACACAGAGGGTCAGCGTAGATGGTTTAAATCTAGTAGGGCTGTGTAACTAGTGGGGTTCCCCAGGGGTCAGTACTGGGCCCACTCGTTCATAATCTACTTAACGATCTAGATACTGGGATCAGCAGTGACATAAGCAAGTTTGCCGATGACCCAAAATAGGGCAGATTAATTCAGGGCAGGATGCAAATGCACTACAGGAGGATTTAAATAAACTGCAGGAGTGGTCAGAAAAATGGCAAATGAAATTCAACACCAGCAAGTGCAGCGTACTTAATATTGAAAGAACAAATACTGTCAATGTATACAGCCTTAACAACATCAACCTAGAAGTCGACTTGTGAAAGAGACCTGGGGTACTTGTAAGCCCGGACCTACGGCAGAAAACAGTGCGTTAATGTTGGAAATAAGGCAAACAGAGTATAGGTATTCGGTTTCATATCTCGAAGTGTAAGTAATAAGAGTGCGGGGTCATATTGCAACTATATCTTGCGCTAGTCAGGCTGCACCTCGATTATGCTGTTCAGTTCTGGTGCCCTATTATAGAATGGATATCAGTTCACTGGAGTCGGTGCAGCGAAGAATGACGAAAATGATTCCGGGACTTGAAATCTTCTATCAAGATAGAATAAAGAAATTAAACTTGCATTCCCAGAAAGACGAAGAGTGCGGGGAGATATGATAGGAGTATTTAAGTGGGTAAAAGGAATAAAAGGGAATATAGATAAAGTTCTTATAATATCCGAGCAGGATAGGACTCGGAGCAACGGTTCAAGTTGGATAAGTTTGGGTTTAGGAGGAGATAGGAAGAAACTGGTTCACAAATAGGGTGGTGGACGAGTGGAACAAGCTTAGCAACTTTGTAGTAAGTACTGGGACGCTGGAAAGTTTTAAAAGGAGGCTAGATAGATTCATGGACGATAGAGAGTGGTTGTAACTCTCGACC